AACCCATATGGAGGTGAGCACCATTCTAGGGCAGTACCTGGGGCAGGGGAAAGAGCCTGCCTCAGCCTCAGTCTCCTCACCTCTACAATGGGAATAATGAGACCGACTTCAGAGGTCAGTGGTGAAAAGTAGAGGGGACAAGTCTGTCTGGCTTATTTAAAGGGACTGGGAAATGAGTCATTGAATCCATAAGCAAGTGTTCTGGTTCCCTTGGGGGCACCTCAGGAACCAGCAGTCACAAAGCCACATCCTGTTGAGGGCCTCCCTTGGTGCTTATCCAGCCCTTCATTTGGCCGGGCTTCTGAGCATTGCCTGTGCAGGCGCTGGCCACCCACGGGAACCAGACAGAAGCACCCTGCACTTCTTGGAGCTTGCCTTCTCCCCAGCAGCCGCCACTCACTGCCCCACTTCTCCAACAGACCTCAGTCTGCGGGAGAAAAGCATCGGGGAAGGCTCAGTGGTGAAGGGCAATGGCAGGCGCGGGCTGTCCCTGCCTGAAAGCCCTGTGAGGGGCAAAAGCAGCCAGCACCACGCTGCTTCTTGGCAGGGGTGCAGAAATGAAGGTGGCCACTTCTGGAGGAGAGAGAGGCCGTCCTCCTGCCCTGTCCTGTCTCTGCCCCCACCAGAAAAAGATTGTCTCTTAGATTAGTGCGCATGAACCTGGGAACAGTGAGTTTCCTTGTGGCACACACAAATGGTCACGTTCACCCCTCCGCCTTTCCCCATCCCCTTCATCTTTAATGTCTCCCTTCTCCTTTCATGTCATTTCCACCCCCCTAGATTTCACATATGATAGAAAACATGTGATACTTGTCGTTCCGGGATCTGGCTTAGTTTGCTTAATGTGATGATCTCCAGTCCCATCCATTTTCCTGCAAATTTCAGGATTTCATTCCTCTTTATGTCTGAATAATTTTCCATCGTGTGTATATATCATATTTTCCTTATCTACTTATCCATTGGCACATAGACTTATTCCACAACTTGGCTACTGAGAGTTGTGTCAGGGGCCGTGGATGTGGCTCAGTGGTAGAGCCTAGCATGCGGGAGGCCCTGGGTTCAATCCCTGGCACCACATAAAAACAAACAAATAAAATAAAGGTATTGTGTCCATCTACAACTAAAAATATATTTTAAAAATAGTTGTATCAGGATGTGTAGGTATCTCTATTGTATTCTGTCTTTAATTCCTTTGGGTTTATACTCAGGAGTCGTAAAGCTGGATCTTATGATAATTCTATTTTTAGTTTTTTGAGGAACCTGCATATTGATTTCCATAGTGGCCACACTGATTTACATTCCAACCATTAGTGTCTCCGAGTTCCCTCTTCCCACATCCTCACAAATATTTGTTGCATTTTGTACTCTTTTTTTTATGGTGCTGGGAATTGAACCCAGAGCCTTGGTACATGAAAGGCAAGCACTCTACCAACTGAGCTATATCCCCAACCCCATTTTGTACTCTTTTTTAAAAATATTTTTAGTTATAGATGGGCTTTGTTTAGGGTTTTTTTTGGTGGTTCTGGGGATCAAACCCAGTGCCTCACGTGTGCTAGGCAAGCGCTCTACCACAGAACCACAACCCAGCCCTATTTTGTACTCTTGATAGCCATACTGACCAGGGTGAGATGGATTCTCAATGTGTTTTTTTTAAAAAAATATTTTTTAGTTGTCAATGGATCTTTTATTTATTTATTTACCTGTGGTGCTGACGATGGATCCCTCGCATATGCCAGGCGAGCGCTCTACCACTGAGCCCCAGCCCCAGCCCTCAAGGTGGTTTTGATTTGCATTTCCTTGATGGCTGTAGATGTTGAACATTTTTTCACACGATCTTTGGCCATTTGTACTTATTTTAAGAAGTTTCTGCTCAGTTCATTTGCCCATTTATTGGTTGGGTTACTTGGGGGTATTTTTAGTGCTAAGTTTATAAAAGGTGATTTTTAAAAGGGGTTTTAATTCACGAAGAGCATGTTAGACACTGGACACGTTTTCAACAAGAGTTCTTAGCCTTTTACAAAATAGGATCTGGACTTGGTAGGGTGTAAGCAGGAAACTTGATTTTTCTTCCACATTCCAGATCTTGCTCCTTCACCCCTTGGGCACATGTTAGGTTTTTCCAGTCATTTCCAGACATATTCCAGGCCAGTCCAACCTAATACTGCAATCTCGTTCAATTTAAGTCTCCCAACTTGGAACAGGAAGCCTTTGATGCCTAAGGAGGAAAGGGGCTGTTTCTTCTCTTGCTGGGTTGTCCCCACACTGCACCAACAGCCACTTCTGATGTCCCATGGACTGGAGTCCTGTAGGCCAGCGCCAGGGACAGGACTCAGCTTCCTGATGCTATTGTGGCTGGTGATGGTGCCCCCAAGTGGCAGGTTCCCTGAACCACCTCTTTCCTCCTGGATCCACAGCAGTTCTTCTCCTCACCCCCATCCCAGGAGCCACTGCCCTTACCTGTGTCTGTCCACCTTCCTGGGATGCCCACCCAATGGTCTACACCATGCAGCCACTTCTCTCTCTCTCTCTCTCTGCAGTACAGGGGGTTGAACTCAGAGGTGCTTTACCCCTGAGCTGCATCCCATCCCTTTTTATTTTGAGACAGGGTCTCACTAAGTTGCTGAGGCTGGCCTGGAACTTTCAGTCCTCCTGCCTTGGCCTCCCCAGTCTCTGTGCTGCTTTTTGAGGCTCCTTTCTCCCTGTCAGGAAGCTCTCCTGGACCGGGAGTTAGCAGGCAGCTCTTTACCTTCCACAGCCCCCACCTTGTTCCCAGGTAAAATTTCAGGGCTAGTTCTTGGATGTGCTGTGCACTCCTACCCAGGCCTCCCGCTTCCCTCCACCCCAGAAGCAGCTGCTGCCAGACTCCCTGCTGAGTCTAGACTCCCAGGTGAGAGGCAGCCACCAGTCCCCATGGCTCCCCAGGTCTCCCCAAGGACATACATCTGTCCCCTGCTGGAGAGTGTCCTCTTCTGTCTGTGCCCTTTCAATAGTCAGAAAGACTCACAATGGACAAGTGACTGACCAAGGCTGCCCACCTTATTCCTGGCAGATGAAAACTGAGACGAAATCCCAGGCCTTTCCCTCCAGGGTCAGAGGCTGAGTTGTCCTCTAATATGCTTTATGTTCTAGAATTCCACACAAGAGACCTTTGAAAAAAAGCTCTGGTTCCCTTTAAATGGACCTGGGAATGGGGGAAGTTGTCGAATGGTTCATTTTTCCCTGCAGGGGCCTCAGCTGGCAGAAGATTCTGCCTGGTGGTGTGAGTGAGTGGCAGGCCAGGAAGCAGGAGGCAGGGCATGGGGGACTAGCACTGGTCCTGTGTGACCAGCCTTGAGGTTGGGGTTTTGCAGAGAGGTGAAGTAATGGAGGCTAAGTACCTGGGCAATCCAGGTTCAAGTCCTGACTGTGACCTGCAGGTCCCTGGGCAGGTTAGGGAACCTCTCTGTGTTCCATTTTCCTCATCTGTAAACAGGAGTCGTGGTGCTGAGCCTGGTACCTGCTTCGGGGTAAGCTCTGATCCGAGTTTGCTGTTCTCACAGGGTCATACTATTTCATGTGCTTCTCAGGTCAACTCTTCGTGGTAAGAACCATGAGGCCCATTTTCACAGGGAACGGAATTGAAGCTGAGTATGGCCAGGGTCACAGAGCAGGGTTCGAACCTCGTCTGTCCAACTCCTGCCAGTCTCTCCAACAAGGCTAGATGCCCCCTCTGACCTATGACATGCTCAAAGGGGGCTGGGCCCTAGAGAGGTGGGCTGATAAGGCCAGGAGAGGTCAGCCTCCTGCCCCCACCACTTTTCCGATGAAGAAACCAGGTCCCAAGGAGGGAAGTGGCTTGCTTGGGGCCTTGATCTCTGTGGCCAGCCCCTGCAGCCACCAGAGTGATTGGGGGGCTGGGGTTGTGGCTCAGTGGTCAAGCACTTGCCTAGCATGTATGAGGTCCTGGGTTTGTTTCTCAGCCCCGCATATAAATACGTGAATAAAATAAAGGTCTGTCAACATCTAGAAATCTATGTGTGTATGTGCAGCCATAGGGGCAGGAAAAGGAGGAAGTGGTGGTGGATATGGAGGCTGCTTCTCTACCCAGCCACTGGGGAACGCTAGGCCCAGGCCGGCTCACAGGCCTAACATGGCACACCCCCAGGCCCAGCCTGAGAACGGGGCTGGGGGCTGTTCAGGCAGGACAGGGCCTTAGCCACTGCCCCTCCAGGCTGTGTGGGAGCATGCTCCTCCCACCCTAAGCACATCCTCGGGACAGACCTTGGGAGGTTTCCTGGAGCCCAGAGTGGCCACAAGCCGGGATGACAAGGCCAGCGTCACATCTGGCTCTAGTGGGCCTCCCTGAAGAGCGGACTGTGGCTGCTCATCACCTGGCACCCCTAGCCTGGGGCACGTCCCCACCCCATGTCACATGGCTGGGTGTGGCTTCTGGCTGCCCACTCCTTGGGGATTCTCTAGGGTGACCCTCACGTAGCCTAGATGAGAGGTGACCCAGGGCTGGGGGTGTAGCTCAGTGGCAGAGCACTTGCCTAGTACCCACTGAGTAGTCCCCCTACTCCAGGCAGCGCTTCTCTGCCCCAGCCTGGCACAGAGCTGGCCCACAGCCCATGGTGACAAAATTATAGTCTGAAATACAAACTTACTCTGAGGTAATTGAGTAATCGTTGTCAAAAGTTATCCTTTGAAAATAACTTGTTTCGAGTTTCAAAATGAGAAACTGTTCCTGAGCCGTCTACTGAATGACTGACATAGGGATGGGACTTTGGGCCAGGTGGACCTGGGTTCAAATCCCATATTCTGCCCTTCACCCGTGGAATGGCCTTGAGGGTGGGGGTCACATCCCTGTTACCATCTTTATGTCCCGGGTCTTTGACTTTTCAGTAAGGTGGTGGCTGGGATGGTCTCGGTATGTGGCAGATGGACTCAATCAGTGGACACTGTGTTACTGAACCAGGCCACTTTTACCTGCCGCGTAGTATGATGATCACCAAGATGACAAGTTTTGCAAAAGAAAAGTTTAATTCTCAGTGACTGAGCATGGCGATGGAGACACAGGTCTCGAATTCTCCTCCTCAAGGATAGGGCTAGGGGATATTCATGGGGTAAAGAAGTAGAGTGATTTTAAGGCATGGGGAAGGTGACCGGAAGAGAAGTTGTGGTATGTCACCAAACTTTATGGTTTTTCATGGGGACCTGGGTTCAGAAAATAGCAGCATCAGCCTGGTATGAGGGTGGAGTTTGGGGCCTCTTGATGTTTAAAGGTCACCTCATCGGACATCTGCACAGGCCCAAATGAAGAATTGGTGGTTTGGACAGAAATGGCTTTCAAGTTTTTGACAAGTAGCCCAGTCACCTGTAACCACATGTCAGAGGTGTTCTCTAAGCAAAGCTTGCAGGACGCTAATGATACAGCTCAGCTGCGAGACCTCCAGAATTCATAATCAAAAAAAACAAACAACAACAACAAAAAAGAAGATAACTAAGGGGGAGCAGGGGGACCCCTTGGAGAGGTACAAATGCACAGTGCTGATTGGTGTGGGGAGGTGGCTGTGGGCTGGCTGTGTCTGCTGGGGTAGGTATCAACGTAAGATCGCTGCCTCTCATGGGTCCCAGAGACTGGGGTCTTATTCTTTTGAAGGTTTCTTTCCTGAGAACGGCCCTCGGGTCCTGGAGGATCTGCTGAGCTGCACAAGTGCACACTAGCGCTGGAAGCCTCTCTTTGGGGAAACGCCCAGCAGAAGACTGTGGCCCATCCAGCCACAATTTTGATTTCATGAAGGGCAAGGCCATGGGCAGGGCTCAGGTGACAGATGCTGAGGGCGAGCAGGAGGATGTGAGGGGAGGTGAGAGGAGGCCGAGGAGGCCGGGGCAGCCTCTGACTGGTGCTGGGCCTGGCACGGTGGACCTGCCAACCCAGTTTAGATAAGACTTCTCAGTTCCTCTTTCCCTCAACAGCATCCTGAGCCTTCTCTCCCAGCTCTGAGCAATGAGTCAGAGCTCATCCCCGTGAGGAGGTGGCTGGGGTGGGGGTGGAGGGGGAGGGTGCCGGCTGGTGGAAGGGGGCAGGGCTGGGACGCATTGTGGCATGGTGAGTAGCCCCAGTGGAGGGGGGGGGACAGGCACTTCCTCAGAACAGCCTCACCACTTGTGACCATGGCTCACTCAGTGACACTCCCCCCAGCCCCTGCACTGTGCTCTGCACAGGGGCTGGATAGAATTCTCCAGCCTGGACACTGTGGGGACCTGAGCTCCTGAAGGCCAGACTTCAGGGCCCTTGCCGCCTTCCACCGCTCCAGAATGGCCAACGTAGGTCTGCTTCGGCTTCTCTTTCCACTCTGGGAGCCTCAGTAAGGACAGAGAAGGGCCAGGCGCGGTCGGGCGGGAGCAGCAGCACAGCCCGCTCTAAGCCGGACTCCAGCTTGCCTGAGTCCTCAGTCCCCACATCTTCCCCAGGGGTAGGAGCAGGCCCCCGAGAGTCCAGAAGATTCTTGTCCTAACTCTGGCCTCAGGCAAGCCTTTCCCTTCTCCAGGCTCAGTTTCCCAAAGACAGAGGGGCGCTAGAAAGATGCTTCTAAGTTCTGGGTGTCTGTGATCTTGTGACCTGAACACTGTGTCCAGCTTGGAATGACCCCTCACAAGGAGGGCAGGAGGCCGAAGCTCCCGATTTGTTTTCTCTCCCTGCTGCCACAGGTTTCTGACTTGGGGGTCCAGAGGGAGGGCAGAAGCTGAGGGGCGGGAAGCATGGTCTGCCGGTTTTTAATGGTCAGGTTTATGCCCACCAAGGCTGTGGAAATGGAAGCCTGGCCCGTGTGGTTAAGCGATGCCAGGCTGGACCTGAGGGCAAATGCCGTGCCCAGGACAGGCTGCAGCACACTAGGGGACAACTTCGTCTTGTTGGGGTTCTGGTGGCCAGCCAAGGCCTATATACTCAGCTTGTACCCTGTGGGCCACTGAGCCTGGGTCAGGCCCTCCACAGGAATTTCTAGGGTTGCTTATGGAGGAGGGTGAGTTTGGGGTTCTAAGTATCTGTATCCCACAGGCCTACAGATTGACTACTCTGAGTTGGTTGAGGGTGGGCTAGGCCTAGGTGAGGCCGTTGCTGCCATTTCTGTCCTGAGCCCCATGTCTGATTCTTTTTAGACCTTGAAGAATGCAACATCTTCTTCCCTGGCTCATATGCCTCTTCCTGCAGGAAGCTCTCCTTGATTTGACTCCACCCAGTCTTCCCCCACAGACCCATAATTTGAGGAGAGGCATTGGGCAAGGGGAAGGAGTGCCAGGCTTTGTCTGGAAAACAGGTTAGGGGTGTGTGACTTGGGAGAGCCCCATAGACCTCTGAACTCCGATGTATGAGGACGTGACATTTATTGTCAGGGAAACTGGGGCTCCTTTTCCCAGTCTCAGGATTTGGGAGGGTCTGAGGGGGCAGAAAAGCAGACAGAGGAGGTGCCGAATCTCAGGCTGCCCTGGTTTGCAGTTGCCTGGCCAAGTACCTAAGGGTTGGCAGGGATTAGTGAGGGGCAGACCCCCTGCCTCCCACCAGGATTTATCCTCTTCTTCTAGGGTCAGCCACATGTGCGAGCCAGGAGCACTGGGGTCGGCAGCCAGGTGCTGGGACCCGTTCCCCAGGCCTGGGGATGCTGTAGGAACTACTGTCCTCTCATGTCCTCGCATGCTACCTCCCCACCCCAGCTTCCCATGCCAGCAGCTCAGATGGACCTAGAGTCCGCACCCAAGGGCAGGGGTGGGGCAGGTGGGTCAGGACCACCAGGACTGGCTGGGCAAGCGCCAGGTGCAGGAGCAGCCCCTCCTTGGGGATTCTCTAGGGTGACCCTCACGTAGTCTAGTTGAGAGGTGACCCAGGGCTGAGGGTGTAGCTCAGTGGCAGAGCACTTGCCTAGTACCCACTGAGTTTGATCCCCAGCATCACAAAAAATAAAACAGAGGTGACACAGGGTGTTCTAGGTGTGCTCTGGTGGCCCTGAAGCCACCCTCAAAACCCACCTTCCCAGACTGGTGCAAGAAGATGAGCTGAGCCCACAGAGGGCCCAACCTGGCCCTGGGTACAGAGCTAAGTCTCAAAGACTCGCCTGGGTCACGGGCAGCGGCAGAGGCTGGGTAGTGCAGGGGTGCAGAATTCAACTCCAACCTGCGTTCAGTGCCAGGCCATCACTTGGTAGCTGTCACCCCTACGTGCCTGCTTTCTTGATTAGCTGAGTGACAGGGTGATGGGGGTGGGCAGCATGAGTCATGCCAGGCACCCCTGAGGGACTAAATTTGGGGGCTGTCATCGTGGTGCTTCAGTGGTGGCCCCTCCCATCAACTGTCCCTGGGTGGCAGTGAGGGGTCCCAGACTGAGAACTCTGATGTCAGGCAGGCAGCCCCTGACCACTTGGGCACCTGTCACCCCCACAGCTGTGTGAGGACAGGGCCTGAACCCAAGGGCTGGACTGTGAATGGGGAGATGGAGACAAGGGAGGGTCTCCTCCTGGGGTGTCCAGAGGCCCCTGCTGGGCTGTGCTCAGGGACCCGCCTGCCCTGCGTTCCAGTGCAGGGACTTCACCGCCCACACGGGCTACGAGGTGCTGCTGCAGCGGCTGCTGGACGGCAGGAAGATGTGCAAGGACGTGGAGGAGCTGCTGAGGCAGAGGTGAACTGGGATGGCCAGGGGCGGGCGGGGCGGCCAGGGGAAGGGGGCTGCCCTCCGCAGGAAGCCAGGCGACAACGTTTCCCCTCAACCCCAACCTGCCCCGATGGGTGCTGCTCGCTGTCCCCTCAGGTGGCCTGGTGGGCCAGCACGTACTCCCAGGAGGGGCTGCCACACGGTCCTGCTGCCCCTGAGGCGGTTGGGTGGGCCTCCGGCTCTGCAGAGGGCACTTCCCGGGCTGCAGCCCCGGGGAACGAGCCCGCCGTGTCCTTGCAGGGCCCAGGCGGAGGAGCGCTACGGGAAGGAGCTGGTGCAGATCGCGCGGAAGGCGGGCGGGCAGACGGAGATCAAGTAAGAGCTGCGCTGGGCCTCACACAAGGGAAGCCTCCTGTGGGGGGAAGCTGGTGGCCAGGGAGGGTCTGCACTGCACAGAGCAGGCATCGGTCGGCCCTTGCCTGGGGCCTGGTGGGGGGGGGCAGGTTCTGGGTGACTGAGAGCAGGGAAGGGCAGGCTGGGGAGGCGGGAGCCACCTGCCCATAGGTGCTTTCAGCCCAGTGGCCTCCATCAGAGTCCCAAGGGGCAGGGGACAGGCCCGTCTGCTGCCTGACCGAGTCCCCTGTAGCATTGTCTGGGCTTCAAGGACCTAGATGCAAGTGGGTCCATACCTGGTTCTGGCACCAGCTCCTCACATGGTGGGCCCTGCATCTCTGTCCCATTGGCAGTGAAGGGACAGATGTGCAGCCTTCCTCCGAGGATGAAGTGGGTTCAGGGGCTTAGCGCAGGCCTGAGTCAGGGGAGGTCATCATGGAGTGTGGGGGCTGCTGCTGCCCCCGCTGGAGTCTGCCAGGAGGGCTGGGGGGCAGGCCCAGGGTCAGACAGCCCTGGACTCCAGGGTCTGAAAGCCTCTACCCCCTCAGGGCCCTGAGGCAGCAGGGGCTACCACTCTAATCCCTTTCCCTGGCCTGCAATGTGCCTGGCTCTGCCCCGAGGGAGCACCTGGATATGACACTCTCTAGGTCTTACAAACACACAGGGCACCCTGGAAGTTCCCGCTTCCAACCAGGAACCCAAACAAACGACAACAACAAAAACAAAACAAACAAACAAACAAAAACGTGGGAAAGGTTAGAGAAAGATTTAAAAGTAATGCGAACCAGGGGAGGTTAATGTCCAGAGCCCACAGATCAACATGTTAGACTAGAGGATGTGCATGCGGTCCTGAGAGTGAGAACACATACGCTCTAGTGGCTGCTTGGCCTTGGTGAGCTGTGTGATTATGGACAAGTCACTTAGCCTCTCTGAGTTTGTTTCTCATCTGCCCCCTCTAATGGGCTATAGTACAGATTAACAGGAGCCTGGTCAGAGGACCTCTCTAGGGCAGGGCTGGCTGCTGGATGCAGGATGGGCAGAGAGGAAGGCTCTGGACAGGGTAAGAAATGAACAGGTGTCTGTTGGAACCTCTTTGTATCTCTGGGAAGGGGGCCCAGGTGGTGGCGCTGGAGGAGACAGCCAGGAGGGCGGTGCAACCCTGGAGCTGGGGAGCACGACCCAGGGATTGCCGCCCCTAGCCTCCCACACCAACGGAAAATGAGAATTTCTTGGAAGTAGCAGGGCCACTGCAGCCATGGGACAGGAAAGGAGTCCAGACGGGCACCCAAGGGAGCCAGGGTGGCGGGTGGGTGAGGCATGCTCAGGGGGCCATGAGTCACATGGGACTGAGTGCAGGGATGCCCTTGGCAGAGAATGAAATGCAGAGGTGAGCTGGGTGGACCACGGGAAGAGGGAAGTACACAGATTCTTGCCCCACTCAGGTGGCCCTGGTTCCCTGCATGATCGTGGAAGGCTGAGTATGGGACAGGGCCTGCCCTGGCTTATTTCCTGGTGACCCCAGGAGGACTACTGCCCCTTTCTGAGACTCGGGCCCTTCCTATGAAAGGGGATGGTCACCCTGAGAGGTGCCCGAGTCTTGCCCTGCAGACCTTCAGTGACAAATTGGAGCCACCTGCTTCACTTGGGACCGAGTGGCCTGGCTGTGAGCTGAGGCCTTTTCCTTTGGGACCCAGGCCCTGCCCTGGCCCAGTGCCAAGGTCCCTTGGAAAACCACTCAGGGGGCTGGAGGCTGCCTTAATCCAGACAGGGAGCCCCAGCTGAGCCTGGAGGGGGAACTGGGCCAAAGCAGCTGCAAAAAAGGTAGAAACAAACCCACAAGGGCCAGAAAAAAGGTTCGCAGAGTGGGTCAGTGGCTGTGGGAGAAGCCAGCACTGCACAAGCTCACTGTAGGCCAGGCCCCGGGAGCAGGGCAGAGGTGTGCGGTGGCCTGGGGGTGCCTCCTGAAGGGGAGGGCATTCCTGCCAGGGACCTATGGACAAAGGCTCAGAGGTGGAAAAGGGCAGGACACTTGGGAGCCAGTGGGTGATGTGGCCAGAGGTGTACCAGCCAGCCTGCTGCAGGAAGGTGGTCAGGAAGGACAAAGGACAAGGGGTTAATGACCTCTTCAGTAGCTCACAGCACACCAAGAGGGCAGGGGGGTTGGCTTGCCCCACCTCTGCTGCCCGGAGACTTGGCGGCATCATTCCTTGACCTTGAGCAAGCAGGAGCCTCACCCAGGCCTGCAGTCAGGCCACATCTTGGGATGATTTTTGGCGGGGAACTCTTTTGCATGTTGTTAACTCAGCAAACATCTGTGGGGCGGCAGCAAGGGAGGACACACAAAGAGGACTGGGCTGCCAGCCCCCGGGGTCCCCACAAGCCTTCCAATGCATGTTCATACAGCGTTAGGCTTTTGCAGGGGGCTTATCAAGACCCCTGACATCCCATGTCCAGCCCTGCAGAAGGTTGGCCTCGACTTTCCAGCCCGGCCCTCCCTTTCCTCTTCTCGGTTCTCCCTGCCTTAAAGGTCTGCCTGAAACGCCACCTGCCCCTGAAAACTGTTGCCTCTGCCGCCTCCTCACTTTCTTCCCCAGGGAGGGTGCTGTGTGCTCCCAGGAGCTGCAAGGGGCAGCAAGACCGGGCCCGCTTCCTGTGAACCCCAGTGGTTACCGTGAGCATGGACAGAACCCCCAAAAGGGGCACGAGCTTGAACCCTCGTGTCCTGCCCCCCCCCACACCGCCCTTGTTATAAACCTGAAGTGTGGTGGGTTTCCTGCCTGAGGAGTTAGCTTGTTTCATTCTCTTTGTTCCTCTGGGCTCACTGGGGCTGCCGGTGGGCTCCCTTCTCCCTGATCCTCTGAGGTGCACTGTGGCCACAGTGGTCCTCCAGCGCAGGGAGGAGAGGGGGCCTGCTCTTGTCAGCTGGGAGGCACAAATGACCTGCCAATCTTGCCTCTTCTGACAGCCTCTGCCCTACCTGCCCAGCCCAGGGTGTCACAGGGTGGGTGTCATGTGGCCATATGGCCACCAGGGGGCAGGCGAGCTGCTCCATAGAAAGGCAGGAAGAGGCTTGGTGGCCGGCCGCAGCAGGATGCGCTGGGACAGGGCCACTGCCACTGCCTCTGTGTGGCCCCAGCCAGCCTGGCCACACTCTGGCTTCAGTTCCCCTGTGTGCCTCGATTGGCTCCTTGGTGTCCTGGGGAGGAGGGTGCCACTGTGTGTTTCAGTGTCTTAGTTAAGGGAGCCTCATTCCCAGGCCCAGCTGCAACCAGTGCCCTTGGTGACTTGGCACCACTGGCCAGGCTGGGGACACCGCAGGCAGAGGCATCCCTCACATGCTGCCCAGCATGGGCTGCTCCTCACCCTCCCTGCTGAGGGTGAGAAGGGAGCCCCCTACCTGAAGACGAAGTCCAGTGGGGGGTTTTGGTAAGAGCAGGTGCTGGTAAGCTCTTAGGTAGAGCAGGTTGGGGGTCAGATCAGACAGGCCTAGGGGTCCCCAGGGCTGGCTGGGATCTGCAGATATGTCCAGGAGGGTTGCACAACAGTGACAACCTTTGTAAAACTCCTCCATTGCTCCAGGTCCTAGGAGAGGCACTTTGTACATGTCAACTCACGTAACCCTCATAGCCTTCCTTTTGTTTTGTTATCCTCATTTTACAAGGGGGCAAACTGAGACAGAGAGGTGAAGTAACTTGTCTAAGGTGACACAACAAATAAATTGTAGTATCTGGATTGAATCCAGGCCATCTGGCTTCAGGATCTGCTTCTAAAGCACCTGGGAGTCCAGGGCAGGGAGAAGCTACATAATGAAGGTCCTGCTGGTTTCCTGGGTGGGCTTCCCTACACGGCCTCCCTCCTCCCTGGGATGGGGAATTCACCCCTCCCAGAAACCTCTGCTCCTGAGAGCTTGTGGTCTAGAGAGAGGTGTTCTCCCACAACGTTCCTGTTTCTGCCAGGGACCCTCTGCCTTGTGGTGTTCCATCACCTGCAGTAGACAGGACGGGGTCCTGGGGTGGGGGCACAAGTACCTTGGCTCAGACTCAGCTGTCAATGGCTCTGGGGTGAGCCCCCAGTTGGGCTGCCAGATACAGTACAGGATACCGGATTCCACCGACTTTCAGCTCCCACGGGGGCTCTTTAGATGGGAGTGTGTCCACTCGTCACCCAGGGCAGACTTATGCTCACAGAGTGCTTGTTGTTGAACTGAGAGTCAAGCGAGCTGGGCATCTGCTCAATCTGGCACCCCTACTGCTCAGGCCTCGTCCCTGCCTCTCGTACCCAGTGCCAGCCTCTCTCCTCCCTCTGGCTCTGGTGCCCACCGGTCCCCTTCCTAGAGCAGACAGCACCTGCAACTCTCCCCTCCCGCTGCCTCCTGCCCAGTACCTCCAGCCTCATCCATCTTCCTCCAGCCTTTCCACGGCACTAGGAGCCAGGTGTGGACGCTCCCTCTCCTGCTTCTGTCATCCTGGAGCACTGGCTACCTGGAGAGGACAGAGGTTTCAGGGAGGGAAGGACCATCCTGAACACAGCCCCCTCTTCTCTAGGAACGCAGACAAGAGCAGAGGGGGCCCGGGTTCTGCTGCAGTGGGAAGGTTGAATTTCCGAGAGCTTTGTCTTCCACAAATCCCAGTTTGGGGTCCATGGAGTTGTCCCCGTCTCCCCCCAGAATAACACAGTCCCTCAGGCCAGCGGGGACTTGGGGTTCACACAGGGCCATCTTCCTGCTGACCTGGCCCTCCTGTTTTGCAGCTCCCTGAGGGCCTCCTTTGATTCCCTGAAGCAGCGTAAGTCCCACCTGTCCCTGTTCCAGGCTGCAGGGTGGCGGGATCTTCGGGAAACCCAGGTCCCTCAGAGGAGGCTGGGGTCCAGCTTTGTTTGCACCAGGGCTGCGGGGCTGGTGGAGGATCTGGGGGTGGGTGAAGGTGAGGGAGGTACGGGCTGGCCCAGGCAGGGCCAGCTGTGGTGGCTGAGGCCATCCTCTGACCCTAGAAATGGAGAATGTGGGCAGTGCACACATCCAGCTGGCGCTGACCCTGCGTGAGGAGCTGCGCAGCCTGGAGGAGTTCCGTGAGAGGCAGAAGGAGCAGAGGAAGAAGGTGAGGGGGTCACCGTGTGGGGACACGTGCCCTCCTGGTGTAGCCAGTGAGGAGCAGGGGCAGTGCTTGGGCCCTGGGATCAGTGCCTTGAAGGAGGGAGGGAGGCCAGGTAAGGCCTGTGAGGCCCCCTGAGGGTCCTGCCTGAGCTGCCTGTGACAAGGAAGCAGGGAGCACACTGGTCTCTGTGACCACCTCACTACACCGCAGAGGGTCGGGGCAACTTGGGGGCACTCAGAACAGCCAGTCCGAGTTGAGTGTCCCCTGGACACTGGTCCTGATTGAGCCCAAGGGTCAGGGTTGTTTATCCAAGAAAAAGTTGGAGCCAGTGGGAGGGGGGGGCGCTGCCCAAGGCCAAAGGGGCCAATAGACAGCAAGGGTGGGGTAGGGGGCTTCAGGCTCAGCAGCATCCAGAGGGACTCCTCCCCAGGGGGGCATGACTGCATCTAGACAGAGTTACCGATGGCAGGAAGGTGAGGCCCCCATGGGAGATGTGCAGGTAGAGGCTGGCGGATCTGGCTGGGTGGCGGCTCCCCCCACGGCTCAACTCCCACTGAGCACCCTGGGAAGGCAGGCACGATGCAGACTGATGCTGGGAAGGGGGCTCAGGCACCCAGGGCTCCCTGCAGAGGGCGAGGCAGCACAGGAAGGGTCATTGTCAAGGGTCTGAGGAACTGAAAATGGAAGAAAGATACCCTGAGCTGTGTAGGGGAGGAGAGCGTGCCCTCCAGGCTGGGCCTGAGCATCTGACGAAGCCATTCCCCGCCCAGGCCTCGTCCCCCCTTGTAGGAGGGGTGCTCTCATCCACCCCCAAGCTTGGGAGTGCAGCCCAGAGGGGGCCCAGTCTCCACAGAAGGGCTGCGGCTCTGCTGGGTGTTTCTCCCGGCACATTCAGCACAGCTACCCGCCCTGCCTGCTCCCGGGCCAGTTGGGTCTCAGCCCTTAGGAGTCTAAATTTGGCTTCCTGAGCAGACAGGGAGTCCCCAAAGCCATCCTCAGAAGCGGCCTGGCCTTGAGGTGCTGGAGCAGGTGACCTCTCTGAGCTGGGACTTGCTGTAGGCCTGCAGAGCACCTGGTGCCACAGGGAGGCCCTAGCCCAGCTCTTCTGAGCTCTCTGTGGCCAGAGGGGCTGTGACATCTCCCAAAAGTATTTAGGACAGAGCACTGATCTCCCCAGAGCAGCCGTGGCCACTGCGAGCAGGAAGCTGTGACCTAGCCTGGGAGCCTGTCTGGGCATGTGTGGGCACATGTGTGTGCCGGTGCGTTTGTGCCTGATCTTTGTGACTAGGCAACTTGCTAAGGTCTCCCAGCTGACCCGACCCTCCCCAGGCACAAACTGGCTCCAGTCTGATGCGGGGCCTTTCATCTCTAATCTCCTACCTCCTCCTGGCCTTGGTCCTGGCTGTTTCGCTAGCTCTGTCTGAACAGGAAGCCCAGGAGGCGAGCATGGGGTACGGTGGCCATGGTGTGCGTAGCCCTGACAATGTGTAGACTGGCCTGTGGTTGTGCATAGGTGAACGTGGGAGTGTGTGATGTGTGCTGAGTGGTCTGTGGATGTGCACAGGGAGGCCTGTGTATGCAAGTGTGAGCAGTCAGGGGAGTGGGGCTGCTAGTCAGTACTTCTAGTGTTCTTGTGGGGCTCCGTATGCACGTGTGTGTCAGTATGTGCTCACTGTGTGAGCAACTGGGATGTGCTCGGGGGCTGTGAATGAAGAATGTGGGTGGGTGCAAGTTCTCTGGCTAGAGTTGAAGTCCCGGCTGGACTCTGCAGCCAGGCCACAGTGGCCTTGGCATTCCATTCTGAGGGTGACTGTGAAGGGGCAGCTCTGGGAGATGGAGGGCATCCCGTCAACGCCCTAGAGCCCGGAGAGGATGCTCTGCCTCATCCTAGGGACAACCCCTCCTCTTGGCCTAGGGGAGCGTGCTGAGGCTGTGGCCCCCTGCTCAGAGCCTCGTGTCCCCTGCAGTACGAGGCCGTCATGGACCGTGTTCAGAAGAGCAAGCTGTCACTCTACAAGAAGGCCATGGAGGTGCGTGTGAGGCTGGGGCCTTGCCCCTTGGGGGGTTCAGGCTGAAGGCCAGAGGGACGGTCCTGCAGTTGCTCACAGGGTCATCCACAGTCAGATGAGAACCCCAGGAGAGCAGGGTGGAGGGATCCCTGAGCAGTGTCCAGAGGACACTGGACAGGAAGGGGGAGAAGGGTACCCAAGAGGGCATCAGGTGAAAAGGTGTAGTGTAGTGGCACAGGTCCCTTCGGGGACAAAAAGGCTGGGCCATGGGCAGGCAGGGCCACTGTCCCCAGTAAACAGAGCCTGCAGCAATACTGCCAGAAGTCCCCTCCTCCTCTCCATTGCCAACCCCAAGATCCCAGTCCCTGATGGGGACGTCCTGCTCTAGCCCCAGCCCCTCACCCCTACCAGGGAAAAGGTGGGCTGGGGTCAGGGAACCTCAATCTGGGGGACACAGAGAAGGACTGTGGGGCCCTGCAAGTCACACCCCTTCATTATCCTAGTCCAAGAGGACATACGAGCAGAAGTGTCGGGACGCAGACGATGCTGAGCAGGCCTTCGAGCGCATCAGTGCCACTGGCCACCAGAAGCAAGTAGAGAAGGTGCGTGGGGCCACTGGGGCTGTGTGGTGTCACCAGGCTGGGGCTACAGACATCCCCAGGCAAAGTCTGCATCCAGGACACACCAGCTGCCCATCTTTCTCTGACCCTTAGTCTTGGCATCTATGTAATGGGCTTCCCAGAATCTCAGGTCATGGACAGACAGGTCATCTTGGTCCCCTTTGCCATCTCCCGGCTGCACCCAAGGACCCATTCCTCAGAGCAGGCTCAGGCCCCAAGTTCACAGATGGGGAAGAGCTACCCCTCAGACAATCCTTGGAGAGGGACTCCGTAGTCCCCAGTCACACAGAGAAAACTGAGTTCCAGGATGGTGAGTGATTTGTCCAGATCTCAGAGCCAGAGCTGCAGAGAAGGGATCCAAACCCAAGTTGTCCAGAGTTCAAGCTCTTGACTGGTCTAGGCTCTGGGTCGTGTCAGAGACACCAGGACCAAAATCACATCACCCAGATGTGCAGACGGGAGAGCTGAGGCCCGGGAGGGCAGGGTCTTGTAGGGGTGTGAGGACAGCAAGTCAAGGGCCAAAGCCTGAGTCCCAGCCTGTGGGTCCAGCAGAGGCCACATAGGGCTCGGCCTGGCCTGAGCTGCCCTCCCCATGGTCTTGACTTCTGCTTTTCAGGAGTATCTTGATGGGCTGCAGGTTTCTGTTTTTAGTCATGGGAACCCTTTGACGGGGTGAGGCTGCCGGTGAATGATGGAATTTGTCCCTAGTTCACTCTGGTCCCTAGATGGCCAGAGAAGGTGTGACAGTCACTTCTGAGTAGCCAGGGTAGTGTTGGAGCCCTAGGGCTGGGCTCAGTGCTGCTCTCCCTGTCTCCTCAGAGCCAGAACAAGGCCAAACAATGCAAGGACTCGGCCACCGAGGCAGGTATGTGCACCCTGGCCCCATCCTCAGGCTGGCGTGGTGGCCTGGCCAATCCTCCTCACCAAACTTGTTCCTAATCTGGGGACGTGTGCTCCACCTGAGTGTGCTCCATGAGTCACACGGGTGCCACCCTGCACTTGTGCAGAGGCTGTTCCTGCTGCTTTGCACATTTAGTCCTCACTCCACCTATGAGGTGGCTGTGGTTTGTCCCCCTTTTTAGCAGACAAGGAAACTGAGGCACAAAGAATTTAAGTAACTTGTCCAAGGTCATCAGCCAGTAAATGGTGGTGACTGCAAGGGAACAGAGACCGTCCGGCTCCAGAGCCTGGGACTTGCAGGGCCACGTCCCTAGGAGACAGGTCCTTCATTTCTCTCTCCTGCACACATGCACACACCCAGCCCTCCCTGGCCCTGGCCTCTCTATCCCCTTACTGCCCCTTGTCCCTGCTGAAAAACCTCCTAGGACAGAGCCACCTCCTCCCTGCCTCAGGAAGGTGCTCTCCCTTCTGCATGGCCTCTCTAACATCTGGTGGGCCCTTGGTTGGGGGACCAGGTGACCCGAGGGATATGAGGGTGGGGGTCATGACCCAAGCCTGCGGGGTCCCCACCCCTCCAGCACCCGCCTGCCCTCTTCAAAACTGTTTCCTGGAAAGTGAGGGGGTGGGATTTGGGGAGGGCAAGCAGCTGGGACTCTGAACTTGTATCCCTGGGGGTCCACTCCAGCACCCATAGCACAGTAGGGGAGCCGAGTCACCCTGAAAAGGGCTATCTGTAGGGGTGTCCCTGACAGGTGTTCAGATGAGCCCAGCAGCCAGGCAGGCCCACGGGACTGAAGGATGTGGGGGAGGGGGCTCTGTGGGAGTAAAGGTGTGGAGGAGCTCCTGTCCTGGGGACATGGGGAGTCCAGGTCACTCAGTCTCCCTGAGGGTTGCCTGTGCTTCCAGAGCGAGTGTACAGGCAAAACATCGAGCAGCTGGAGAAGGTGCGGGTCGAGTGGGAGCAGGAGCACCGGACCACCTGTGAGGTGAGTGGCCTGGGCCCGCAGCCTGTGTCCCCCGTTGTAAACGGAAGGGCACCCATCCCTGCTGTTTGAGGCTGCAGGTTGGGGATAGTATTCATTCATTCACCCCCTCATCTGCTCACTCACTGGGCCCAGAGCTGGGTCTTATCCCGGGGTTTTCACCGCCTGGCTTTGTGCCCAGGGCCCCGCTGATGGACCACATCCTGTGCGCCTCTTGCTGCCCTTCCCGGGACTTCATCCAGTGTGTGGTGGGGTCTGGAGGGAAGCTGTGGGCAGGAATCCCCGAGGCAGCTCAGCCTCCCTCCCAACAGCTCAGGACTGTCACAGGGGTGGGGACCCACAGGAGGCCTTCCCTTTAGACTTGGCAGCCAGCAGAGCTTGCCCACTGGTCAGCCTCAGCTGAGCTGAGTGGGGCCTGCCTGGCCCTGCAGCTCCTCCTCACTTCCTCCTTCTCCCCAGGCCTTCCAGCTGCAGGAATTTGACCGGCTGACCATTCTCCGCAATGCCCTGTGGGTGCACTGCAACCAGCTCTCCATGCAGTGTGTCAAGGACGATGAGGTGGGGTTTCAGGACACAGGGGTAGGGTGCAAGGAGTGGGTGAATGAATGAATACCATCCGCAACTTGTGGCCTCAAACATCAGGGATGGGTGCCCTTCTGTTTGCAATGGGGGACACAGGCTGCGGGCCCAGGCCACTTACCTGCATGCCCAGGTCCATCTAAGCCAGTGAGCAGACACTTGGTCCTCTGTGAGCCAAGCTCTGGCCTGGGAGTCTCGGACTTCAGCCTCTGCTTCCTGCACAGCCCAGACAGGGCTGTAAGCCCCTGCTTTTGTGGCTGGCTTCTGCCATCTGCTCCCTGTCCCCATGCCCTCCAGAGTGCCTGGCTCTGCTCTTGCAGCTAGAGCACTCCCCTGCTCAGGGTGGGGAGTGTGGAGGCAGCTGGGGGTGGGGAGAGCAGGTAGACACAGTTCTTTGCAAAGGGTCTAGAGGACCCCATGGCTCCACTGCATGCCTGGTGCTTGCAGAAGACCAGGTCCAGTCTCTCCTCTGCCCCACCTCTGTCCCTGTCTCCAGGAAGACCTGACTATACCCCAGCAGAGTGCTGCCACTCTGTGAAAGGGGCTTGAGCCTCATGCTCTCTTGGGGCAGCCTGGAGGCCAGCTGCTGTTCCTTGCCTGCCCCCTCCTTCTCCTTCCTGCCGAGATCAGAGTGAGGCAGGGTCCAGATCACTCTGATCTCAGCCTCCACACAGACCTTTGGGTGTTTGTTTTCTAAATGATGTGTACCCACCTGATGGCCTCTTCATGGCAGTGGAAGAAGTGTGAGCTCGACTCCCTCATCAAGATCCAAAGCCTAGCTGCATTGCATTCTTGTGACATATCCCTTCTCAGTTTCCTCATCTATAAAATAGGGGAAATAGTGTCTGCCTCAGAGGGTAGGGTGAATTAAGTCCTTTGCATAGGTCCTTGAGAAAGGAGGACACAGGAAGCTGTTACCAGGGATTTATCCTCTCTGGGTTATATCCCAAGGTTCCTCATTTCAGGCGCTGACAGGGTCCCTGGCCAGAGTTCAGACCCACAAAGTGTGGGCACTGCGGTGAAGCCTGGCCGCACGGTCTCTGCTCTTTCCTGCCCCTAGCTCTATGAGGAAGTGCGGCTGACACTTGAAGGCTGCAGTGTGGACACCGATATCAATGGCTTCATCCAGGCCAAGAGCACAGGCACTGAGCCCCCAGGTAAGGCCCACTCCTAGGACAGCAAGGGTTTAGCCAAGGATCCCTTGAGCCAGGACAGTGCGGTGATGGCTCACGGCTCCTTTGTGGGAGGAGGAGTTAAAGGAGCGGACGGTAATCTCTAGGCTGGGTCTCTGGCCTGCTGACTCCTCTGAGACAAAAGAAGACCAGAATTAAGGAGGGACCAGAGATCTTATAAGGGAGGTTAGGATGGTGAAGCTCTGTTGAGTCTTCAGCCCAGCCCTTTTGGTCCCTAAATCATAGTTCAAAATATCCATGGCAATCTCAGTGGCACCAACAGTGGGGGACTCTCATGGGAGCAACAGGATGGGCCAGGGCAAGAGTGGAAAAGTAGGGCCCTACTCTGGGTCTCTGGGGACAGGTTGGGGTGTTGAGCAACACAGGTTCTGCCTGCCTTCGCCACCGTGGGCCTCACAGGCTTGCTTGTCTGTAGCTCCGGTGCCATACCAGAACTACTATGACCGGGAGGTTACCCCGTCATCTGGCAGCCCTGGCGTACCACCATCCTGTGGCATGATAAAGAGGTGAGGCACCAAATGGGTGTCAGTGGCTGGGATGCAGAGCAGGGGTAAGAGCAGTGGGCCAGGAGTGGGCTGGGCCTCTGCTGGTGGCAGCAGAGCACCCACTTTGTGTCTGGGGCTGCTCAGGTGCTGGGTGCCCTGTGGAGACACAACAACCTCAATCCAGTTTTATGGATTGGAACCCTTGGCCCAAGAGAACCCAAGTATTAAACAATTAGTTACACCCCAATTACTCACTAGCGACTGCATGCAAAGCCCTAGGTAGGCCTCATACTGGCTTCCTTGTCCCGTTGGCCACACTGTGAGCCTGGGTTGGTGCCCTAGGTGACTCTCTTCTGCAGGAGCCCAAAACCTGTGCACCGGGAGAATTCTCCTGGGTAGTGTCCTTTCCCTGGCCTGGCTGTCAGGTTCCAGGTCCTAGTGCTATACCCCAATATACCATCTGGATCCAGTCACTATGGGGCCAAGAGGAAGTGGGCTGGCTTAGCCCAGGCTGGTGAAGATGCCAGCGTGGCATGTTTGGGTTGAACTTTGAAGGGCAGATCCTACCACAGCAGGAAGACCAGAGTGTAGTCCAGGGCTTGACGGGTATGGAGACCTGAGCATTTTCTTAGAACTCTCACAGGGCCCTGCATGGAACAGGTGCTGAGATGATCTAGCATGGGGTTGTGGGAGTGTGTTGCCGGGAAGGAAGGGCCATGGTGAACACCCTTTGGGGATCCTTGGAAGCAGAGAACTCTCAGAGCTTTGTGAGTTCTTCCTTTAGCGGTGGGGCCTTAAGAATCAGACAAACAGACCAGACTGATCCTCTTTCTTCCCTCCTCCAAGATTCTCTGGGCTGCTGCATGGAAGTCCCAAGACCACATCCCTGCAAGCTCCTGCTGGTAACTGAGGGTGATGTGGGAGGTCCCCAGACACTGTGACCCCAGGGGAAAGGACTCCTATATGGCATAGCTGGGGCCATGAGGCCCCCAAAGGGAAAAGGTATACCCTCCCACAGCAAAAGGGAGAGTGGAAAGGCAGGGCCAAGCCTAAACTCCATGCCAACGGGGCCTCCAGGGACCACAATTCTTCTAAAGGGGCAGGGTCCAGGCCTCACTCTGATCTTGGCCTCCACAGAGACCCTGACACCTGCCCCTGAGCGGAGTGAAGTTGTCTACGCAGACATTGCAGTGCAGGAGACCCTGGGAAACGCTGCCCCACCAGCCCAGGACTACAGGGCGCTCTATGACTACACGGCACAGGTGAGGTCTTTGCCTTCCTCCCCTGCTCAGGAGGGCACATGTGTATACCTGGGAATGTGCTGGGGCATGAACCCTTAGAACAGAACTCTCTACTTAAGAGGGCCTCAGCATATATCTGCTGAATATGGCAAATAGGTACAAGGGCTCATGTCTGCTCAAATCTGCACACATGTATATGAGTCATCCATGCAGGCTGACAGAGCTGGGGTAGGTAATGGTTTTAGGGTCAGGGTGTGCACTCTTGAGTCAGGGCCTTGTTCTCTGCATCCATGGGTACAGAGAACACCAAGGCCAGAATGAGTCCTTCTACTGTGCTGTGGCTGGTCTTCTGATGTCTGTGGGGAGAGGATGGGTAGGGGCAGCTCTGCTGAGATCTCCAGAGCCCAATCTGCTCCATGTATCAAGGCAAGGGTGCAGAATTGGAAACCAGAGCCATCCCTCACAGCGAGGCAGGCCAAGTGTGAGTCGCACCCACTGAGGCCACTCAGGGACGCAGACTTTGGCAGGCTTTGGCAAGGGCAGCCAAAAGAATGATAGGTGCTTGTATGAGGGGGCAGTGAATTTTCTGGGCTCAGCAGTGGTGAGCTTTGGAGTGAGTATCCCCTTAGGTTTGGGGTAAGGCAAGCAGCTGACTCCTGATGTGCTCCAGCGGTTGGAGCAGAGTGGGAGAAGACGAGGCTGGGGTGCCTCTGGTGACAATTTGAAGAGGACAGTCCCTTGAAGACAGTCCCCAAAGGGACTGTCCCAAGAGGTATGGGCATGTCTCAGGTGCGGTCCACCCTGGGAGCCTGGCTCACATTTCCTGCTGGGACAGGGGATGCCAGACCAGAGCCATCCCAGCTGCCCCTCCAGTCTCATGCTCGTTCCATCTCTTGCCCAGAACTCCGATGAGCTGGACATGTCTGCAGGGGACATCCTGGCAGTCATCCTGGAAGGGGAGGATGGCTGGTGGACAGTGGAACGGAATGGGCAGCGTGGTTTCGTCCCTGGGTCCTACCTGGAGAAGCTCTGAGGAAGAACCAGCAGCTCCTTGCCAGGGCCTACCCTGCCAGGAGTGTCCTCTAAAACTGCCCTGATCTTGTAGGGTCTGAATGGGCCTGCCCCTGCTGGGGATGCAACAGAAATAGTGTCACATTCAAGAAGTCTCTCCGGGCTGGGGATGTGGCTCAAGTGGTAGCACACTCGCCTGGCACATGCGAGGCGCTGGGTTTGATCCTCAACACCACATAAAAATAAAAAAAAAAAAAGATATTATGTCCACCTAAAAAAAACTAAAAAATAAATTAAAAAAAAAGAAGTCTCTCCTACAGGGAATAAAGACTTGCATTCTTTTTTTTTGAGGGGGTGGGGAATCTGCTGGGTCCCTTTTACTCCTGTGTCCAAATGCTCAATTCAGAGGAAAAGGAGTGAGGAGAAGAGTCTGGAGAACAGAGCTCCGCCACACCTGGACAGATCTTCAGCAGAAGTCACTGAGGGCCCCAGCCAGTCCCAGGTTCTGCTGGTCCCATCACTGGAATGTGTCAGAGAGATAGTCACACCTTGCACAGATGGGATGATGGGGCAGGGTAGTGAGGAGCCTAAGGAGGGCTGGGAAGGGCAGATCAGGTTCCTGAAGGTAGAGAACCGGACAACAGCAGAGCACACCCCCCGGAGCTCACCCGGACCTGTGGCTTTCCAGCTGGCTCCTGGCATCCACCTGTCAACCAGCATACAGAGGTTTAGCTCATGTGCCAAGGCAAAGGTCAGGTGCCAGAGGCAAAAATTAGACCTTTACCAAGCTGTGCCCCAGGAAAAGGGTAAGGAGAGTGCCAGTAAAAGGGGGCTACTCTGGTGTTTAACACAAGACGCCCGTCATCATGCCCTCGTCTTCATTGCCAGGTTAAAAAGGCATAGTTATGATGCCTAGAGGAGGTGAAGGAGGGGATGGGCTTTCTTCTTTGGAGCATGAAAGTGCCTTTAGGTTGTGGCCTCTCATCTGACTCAGGTGTGGCTACCTCGCAAGCCTCGATGCAGTGAGAAGGCTGTGGTGCTGGGCCAGGCAGAGGTGCGAGGGTTCCAGGCAGCCCCAGGGTGCAGGTGCAGGACCCTGGAAGCAGGCTCTGGGTCTGCTGGGTGCCACTCACTGCTGCTTTCTACCAGAGGGTGCGGGAGACAAGAGGGGAAAGGACCTTGGGCTTCTGAGAAGTCAGACTTGATGCGTCATATGTCCATCCTGAAATCATTTTCCTTCATCAAGCACTTTGTGCTAGAGCGCCAAGCAAACACCACACCTATTCCCAGTGCACACAAGCTCTGCAGATAGGGGTGTTTGAAGAAAATCAAAATCTGGCGCTTGATCTCCTCCTTCCCTGAAGAGAGCAGAGTCTGTGAATAAAGACTTACCTGACCAGGCATGGTGGTGCACACCTGTAACCCCTGCAGCTCAAGAGGCTGAGACAGGAGGATTGTAAGTTCAAAGCCAGCCTCAGCAACTTAGCAAGACCCTGTCTCAAAAAATAAAAAGGGGAAGTGGCTCAGTAGTTAATAAGTTTCTCTGGGTTCAATCCCCGGTACCAAAATAAAGAAAGACCGACCTGCCTGGCTTAGAAATACTGCCCAGGACATACCCCTCAAGTCTTGTCAGACTCAGCCAGGTCCCAGGCCTATCAAGCAGCTCTAGAGTAATCTAACCAAGATATTCTTTTGACTTTTATATGATAATGGGGTGGGGTGGTGCTTGCTAAGATGAAGGATTGCCCTCAAAGAGCTCACTCTCCCAAAAGGGGAAGGCAGATGCTTCTGAGCTCTTATATCCAAGGTAGCCACTGAATATGGAAAGAGGGGGAATAGGAGGCCAGGAGCAGGCTGTCCCAACACGGAGGATGGTAGATTGTTTGCAAAGTGGCAACTGGGCTGGAGAACAATTCTGAAAGAATGTAGGAGATAGGATGTCCTGGTAACTTATGGGATGTGAGATAGGGGCAGGAGGATTAGAAAGAGAGGACATGAATTCCAAGCTGAGCTTAAAGATGGGCAGAAGCCTCTCCCAGGTGGAGCTGGAGTAGGACTTGGAGCAGGGACAGAGCGAAGGCCCAGGAGAGGTGAGACGGCCACGCTCACTGATGGACCCCAGGGCGCAGGTCATG